AGAATAAAAATGCCTAAAACACGTGCAATCTTTTCCTTCTTGCCCTTAGAAATGATTAAAGGTGGGATTTTAGTGCCATCCAGACGAACTGCCAAAATACAGGAAACAAGTGCACTTTCGTAAGCAGTGGAGGGAATGTACACTAAGGAGGCACCCTGCTGTTCAATTGTTGTTTGAGATGATTGGCCCATAAACACAGCAGTTTCATCCATAGCAATCATGCTGGAAAGATTATATTTAGAGAAGTCAGCATCATCAATAAAGGACTTGAATGCAAATGCTCGCTTAATATAATAACTTGAGTATCTTCCAACCTAAACAATGTTGTAGATCTTCTTAAAGACAGTTCACTTCGCTGAAGGAAATTATCCAGCCAGTGTTGTGATGCTTTGAAGTCTTCGGGGCTGTGTCAAACTGTGGTGCCATTGCAAGGACAAATTCTTGAATCTGAACCTTATTCACAACCAAAGCCTTTGCTCTCCTGTCAACAACCCATTCACAGATCAGGTATTCCAGCTCAGAAAATAATGGTTGCTGACCTGATCCACACTTGTGCTTTTTAGCATTTCCCTTGTCCACTTGTTCAATGAGGTTACCCTACTCTGCTCGCCATTTTTGGACCAACCTGATACTCAACATCTTCTCTTTGCAGAAAGCAGTAAGATTTTGGCCCCAAGAGTCTTCCACAATTCCTTTCTTGTACTCCACGGAATAGCTTTTTCTTTTTGTGCTCATTTCTAAGGGTAAAAAAAGGAATTGGGGTATCAAGGTGGGGCGAGGGGGATCACTTAAAATGACACAGGAGGGATCAGAGGGGGGAATCAAAATGGCACAGGAGAATCAGAGGGGGATTACCATTTTAGTAACCCCTTTTGATCCTCCCGTGTCATTTTAAGTGATCCCCCTCCCCCCACCCCTGTGCCACTGAACACCTTCACCAGACATCCTCCCTACCCCTTTATCAGACATTTACCCCCTGGGGCCTGTCTGGGGACTGTCACTGGGCTTGCTGGGGCCTGAATCTGGGCTGGAGCAGGGTCTGCCACTGACTGAGAACCTTCAGTCATCATGAGGGCGGCCCCTAGCATCAGGTAGTGTCAGAGAGAGACCAGCACTCACCACCTTCACCGTGTCTCGACTGCTCTAACCCTCCTGTTCTTCTACACGCATCTGCGAAAGTCTCCTCCTCCCTCCCGCCCCACGATCACCGCTCACCCCGACCTCCGCTCTGCCTCCATACAGCAGTGACGTCAGGACTCCGCATACCATCACTGGTTGCTAGATGCCAGTCAGGGCAGCCCTAGCGACCAGTTTACAGTAAATTAATTTTCATTCTGAGACAGAGCCTGGGGGGGCCTTATTTTCGGGGGGGGGATGCCTTATATTTCACTCAGAAGGAAACCTGTAAGTAGGTCTTATTTTCGGAGAATGTTTTGTTTTCGGGGAAACACGGTATACCTTCTAGTACAAGGAACTCGTGCAGCCAATTAAAAAAGGTAGACCTACATATTTAGAGCTAAGATTTTCAAATTATGGTTTAGGTAGAAAAAAAGCAACACACTAAGGACACTCACAGGTTATATATGTAACCATGTAGGTAAAAAAAAAAAAGTTTGGGTTAGTTTTTTGCTCACCCATATTTGGAAGGACATATAAGACGCTGGGAAATGACTGTCTTCTCAGAGAAACTGGGAAACGGGGGCTGGGGTCACGGGGTGTGTGTGTGAAGATCACTTGCACCTTTTGAACAGTGTGCCTTTTGTAGTACCTATTTTATTTTTTAAAATATATTTTATTGATTTTTCACAGAGAGGAAGGGAGAAGGATAGAGTCAGAAACATTGACGATAAACATCGATCAGCTGCCTCTTGCACACACCCCCCCACTGGGGATGTTTCCACAACCAAGGTACATGCCCTTGACCGGAATCAAACCTGGGACCTTTCAGTCCTCAGTCTATTTTATTTTTTTAATATATTTTTATTGATTTCAGAGAGGAAGGGAAATATCAATGATGAGAACCATGGATTGGCTGCCTCCTGCATGCCCTCTACTGGGGATCCAGCCTGCGACCCAGACATGTGTCCTTGACCAGAATCAAACCTGGGAACCCTTCAGTCCACAGGTTGCCAGCTCTATCCACTGAGCCAAACCAGCCAGGGCTATAGCACCTTTTTTTTTTTTTTTTTTTTTTTTAATATATTTTATTGATTTTTTACAGAGAAGTGAGATAGAGTTTGAAACATCAGTGAGAGAGAAACATTGATCAGCTGCCTCTTGCATACCTCCTACTGGCGATGTGCCTGCAACCAAGGTACATGCCCTTGACCGGAATCGAACTTGGGACCCTTCAGTCCGCAGGCTGACGCTCTATCCGGAGCCACACCAGCCAGGGCTGTAGCAACTATTTTTAAAATCAATTACCAAATGCAATGTGGTACCTTAAACAGAAAAAGGGCTTTGGTAGAAAACTGGTGAGATCAGAATTGTCTGTAGTTCATGTACCAGGATGAATTCTTTAACAAATGCACTAAATACAGCTTGGGTACTGGTGGTTTCCTGCTTCATAATCCCGTCCTTCCCACGTCTCCCCACTAGAGTGTGCTCAGAAAACTCGGAACCTCCGGCATCTCCTCACTGCTCCGTGCCTGTATGTCCCGCATTCTCCCCTGGTGTACCCACTATGGCCAAGTTCACTGCTTCTGTGCTCGGAATGCTCTCCTTGGCTCTCCCCTCAGTGCTCTCAGACATGGCAAAGTACTGTCTTACATTGACCCGTGGTTCCCCGGAAGCACTGATGCAGCTGAGGGCGCAGGAAAGCTCTGGATTAACACCTGTGAAGGGAGGCCCGGGCAGAGGGAGAAGCGGGCTGTGACGAGGGCCTAACAGCCTCAGGGATGCACAGGGCGCTGAAGCCAACGTGCCCTTCACAGTTGCCCCAAGTAGCAGTGAGAGGGAAATGGCCTTGGGCCCAGCCCCTTAGCCTGGAGACGGGCACCTGCGAAAGGGGGCCTGACCTTGGCTAAGGCAGCTCTTAAGCAGAGGATTTTTCCAGGGGGGACCAGCTGGGGCCGCGGGCAGTAGCCCTTCCAGCAGAAAGTCCTTCCTTCTGAAGGGCGGCCTCCCATCTCACCGCCTCACCCCTTACTCCTACCGCAAGAACTCACAGACTTGTCTCCCAAGCGCCTGGACCACAGCGTGAGGGCCTTTCCCCTCAGCTCCCACGCAGCACGCAGAGCTAAATGTTCCCGCTGGCGGTTACTGAGAGCATCACAACCCTCAGCAATTGGTTTTCCATTCGGCAGCGACGCCAAGAAAGACTCATTCTAAAGGAAGGCAAGTCTTTTCAAGCATATGAATACTTTTATTAACATGGTAACTTTTTTTTAAACACATGGTAGGGTTTTTGACCTCAAATACTTGTCAGGTCTGCTTTTCAAATGAACTTACAGCTAGACAACGTATGAACCTTCAAGATCCCTGTCCTTTTGGGTCCATGCTTTCCTTCCCCAGCCCCTCAAAGGCTTCTGCAAATATCTCTCATTTTATCTCCTGAGATGCATCAGGGTCTCACCTCAACTCGCACAGAATACTAAGATCCCGTCACCCATCGAGGTTCCATGTCCAATAAAAGCTGAGTTAGGTTGTCCCAACTAACTGACCAGTCAGGCTACATCGGATAGTGTGCCACATAAAATTTAAATTTTGAACAAAATACATCTCTCCTCCTTTGGTCTCACACAGAAAGAAATTCAAGTCCCAAAATACAGACAATGCCATCTTCCGCCTTCGGATTCACCAGTCCCCCCAGCCAGATCTGCCCCGGCGGCGCGGGTGGAAGTCTGGCCCCTTCCTCAGCTTCCCGGCCGCTGCTGCATGGAGTCCTCCCCCGCAGCGAGCAGCCCTCGGTCCTGCGGAGCTGGAGACCTCCACCGCCGGTCCGGGGGCCGCACAGACCCAGAGTTCCAGGGAGCTGTCAGGTCGCACAAGAAAGAGCAAAGCACCTCAAAACTCAGAAATACCCGAAGCCCGGGAACAATGCGCCTGCTGCAGCAGCGTACAATCTAGGCCCACTTCCGTGTCGGAGCGTTTCCTAAATCAAAGTGACTTCCTCAAACGAAAACATCCAACAGTCAAAACTCATATTGAGGTCATCAACCACAGACCACAGCAGAAACGTAGTGTAAATGAGGGCAGCGTAGACGGAGGAAAGAAGGGGGAAACAAAAGGCTCTCTGGTTTCAGCTTCTCCGGGGTGTCAGCCAATCGCCACCAGTCCACCAGAATCCATTGGCTGTAAACCTGAATGCAATGGCGAGAAACACATCGTTAACAGGTCAATTCTATGACAAAAACAGTCCCCTCCGCGCCCCCATCCCCACGGACAGCCCTGCGGGACCCTCCCTCCCCCCATAAGCCACCTGCCTCGGCCCGTCTCCCAGCCAAGGCCAAAGGCCGGAGCTGCCCGACAGCCAGGCCTCTCCGCCCCGATCGGCGGCCTGGGCCGTGATTCGGTTCCCATGACGGACTGCTGGGTTCCCGGCCCCACAGTCCCTCCGCCGCCGCGCGACCCCAGCTTCCATCCAGGTACCAAGCCGCCCACAGGCAATGTTTTCCCTAGTTGCCAGCGTAATAAGAAATTAAAAAAATTTAAAAACCCCAAAAACTGCCGAAACCGGTTTGGCTCAATGGATAGAGCGTCGGCTTGGGGACTGAAGGGTCCCGGGTTCGATTCCGGCCAAGGGCATGTGCCTTGGTTGCGGGCACATCCCCAGTGGGGGGTGTTCAGGAGGCAGCTGGTCGATGACTCTCTCTCATCGATGTTTCCAGCTCTCTCTCCCTCTCCCTTCCTCTCTGTCCAAAATCAATAAAATATAAAATAAAGTGTTTTTTTTTTAAACCAAAAACTTAAAGGGCAGCGAGGAAGCCGCCCACAGGCAGCGCGGCCTGCGCTCTCCGCCCCCCGGGGTCCGGCCCGCGGGGCGGCCTCACCGCCGGCGCTCAGGACGACTCGCCCTTCTCTAGCCGCCGCACCAGCGCCACCAGCATCTCGGCCATCTTCGCGATCTCCTTGGCCTTCTCGTCGGCCTTGTCGCCGCGCCGCGCCGCGCGGGCCTCGGCGGCGCCGGCCGCGCCGGGCAGGTGGTTGAGCGCGCTCTCCTCCGCCGCCTCCACCTGCGCCTGCAGCCGCCCCAGCACGTGGTCCACGGCCCACAGCTTGCCCCGGTGGCGCAGGTAGGCGCGCCCGCGCTCGCGCGTCAGCGCCGCGATGTCCTCGCGCATCTCGTGGATGACGGGCAGCAGGAACTGCTCGAAGTCCTCCTCGGGCTCCAGCACCTCCACCTCCTCCGGCTCCGCCAGCTCCACCGCGTCCAGGGGCCGCATCCTCCTCGCTCCTGCGGGGCCGCGGCGTCGGCGTCGGCTGCGGGGAGACGGCGGGGACGCGCTACGCGGAGCCGCGGGGCGCCGGGACCGGCTCCCAAACTTTCCCCCGGGCCCAACTTTCCGCCGCCGAGAAGCCGCGCGGAGGAGCGCCTGGCGAGCGGAGCAGCCGCCAACAAAATGGAGTCCCGGCCGTCAACCGCTCCCTGCGCTGTTGCGGCCCCGTTTACGACACTGGCCGGGCCTCTTTACGGCCGCGCCGCGGTGGGGGGGGGAGCGAGGCGCGGGGGGGCGCGCGCGCCGACGGCGGAAGACGCAGCCGGCTCCGCCGCGCACGCGCACGCGCAAACGAGCACTCTCACACGAGCACGAGCACGCACGCGCGCTCCCGTCCTCTTTCCCCTCACCAGGTTCCCCGCCCCGCTGTTCTCCCGGCTTTGGGGTGAGCTCTTCCGGGGCACCCTCTCCTCCTAGATTGCTTCTCAAACGCGGAATCTACTTTTTTTTTTTTAAATACATATTTTATTGATGTTTTACAGAGAAGAAGGGAGAGAGATAGAGAGCTAGAAACGCCGATGAGAGAGAAACATCGACCATTTGCCTCCTGCACACCCCCTACCGGGGATGTGCCACAACCAAGGTACATGCCCTTGACCGGAATCGAACCCGGGACCTTTCAGTCCACAGACCGACGCTCTACCACTGAGCCAAACCGGTTTCGGCGGAATCTACATTTTATTTTATTTTTATTTTTTAATTTATTTTATTGATTTTTACAGAGAGGAAGGGAGAGGGATAGAGAGAAACTGATAGGAGAGAAACATCCATCAGCTGCCTCCTGCACACCTCCCAATGGGGATGTTCTCGCAACCAAGGTACATGCCCTTGACCGGAATCGAACCCAGAACCTTTCAGTCCGTAGGCCGACGCTCTATCCACTGAGCCAAACCGGTTTCAGCCGGAATCTACCTTTTAAAGATGTAAACGTGATCTATCAATAGATGGAAAGAGGAAAATGCTGTTAAATCGTGTATTTAAAGGCTGTGACACCCCTGGCTTAACCCGAATAGCCCCTTCCTTTTGAGAATGGGTGCTCCAGGTGTCTGCTGTGAGCGTAGGGTGGGAGGCTGGAAGTGGGGGTGGGGAGACAGGGACGGGGGTCTTACTCAATTGTGTGTCCCCACAGCCCGGAGCAGAGCTTGGCACCCATGGGTAAGTTTGCTTTTCCATCACTCTTCTTTCTCCTTAGAGGACATACAGATGGCCAGTAAACATGTGATAACATGCTCAGCATCACTAATCAAAGGCCTGCAAATTCAAACTAGAATGAGGTTTGTGTCTCACCTGTCACCATGGCTACCATCAATAAACAAACAAGTGTTGGCGAGGGCGTGGAGAAAAGGGAACGGAACCCTGGTGTCTGCTGGTGGGAATACAGAGGGTGCAGCCACTGTGGAAAGCAGTATGGCGTTCCCTCAAAAAGTTAAAAACGGACCTGCCTTATGATCCTCCGATCCCCCTTCTGGGAATGCTATCTCTGCAGAAACCCAAAACATGAATTCAAAAGGATACACACACCCTGTGTTCACTGCAGCGCTATGTACAATAACCAAGGTTTGGAAGCAGCCCCAGTGCCCATCCGAGTAGATAAAAAGCTGTGGGACACCTACACAAGGGTACTACCCGGCCGTAACACAGCATGGATGGACCTGGAGAGCATGATGCTAAATAAGCCAGTCAGGGAAAGGAGTGTCCCATGATCTCACATGTGGACTCTAGTGGACAAAATTAACTGATGAACAAAATAGTAACAGACTGCCGAGGCTGGTTTGGCTCAGTGGTAGAGCGTCGGTCTGCAGACTGAAAGGTCCCAGGTTCGATTCCAGTCAAGGGCATGTACATTGGTTGCGGGCACATCCCCAGTAGGGGGTGTGCAAGTGGCAGCTGGTCAATGTTTCTCTCTCATCGATGTTTCTAGCTCTCTATCTCTCTATCTCTCTCCCTTCCTCTCTGTAAAAAAATCAATAAAATATATTTGAAAACAAAATAGTAACAGACTGACTGGGTGACTCCATTGGAGCATTGTCCCATACACTAAAAGGTTTCAGGAATGATCCCAGTTGGATCAATGTTTCTCTCTCATCCCAACATTTCTCCCTCTCCCCCGCCCTTCCTCTCTTAAAATCAATGAACATATCCTCAGGTGAGGCTTTTTTTTTTTTTTCTTTCAAATAGAGCCCTGGCCAGTGTAACTCAGTGGTTAGAATGTAGCCCACACACTGAAGGGTCATGGGTTCGAGTTCCAGTCAAGGGCATGTACCTGGGTTTCAGGTTCCATCCCCACCCCGGTAGGGATTCAGGAGGCAACCAATCGATGTGCCTCTCACATCAATGTTTCTCTCTGTCTCTCTCTCTCTCCCCAACCTCCCACTCTCTCTAAATTAAAGTCAATGGGAAAATATCCTCAGGTGAAGTTTAACAACAACAACAAAAACAGAAACAGACTCATAGATAGAGATCAAACTGAAAGTTGACACAGGGGTAGGGGGAGGTGGGCTGGGTGAAAAGGGTGAAGGGATTAGGCAAAAACCAAAACAACAACAACAAAAAACCCACCTCATAGACACAAACAACAGGATGGTGAATGTCAACGGGGAAAGGGGCCGGGGAGCTAAGAGAAGTACAGGGGGCTAAATGGTGATGGAAGGAGTATTGGCTTGAGGTGGTGAATATACAATACATATGCAGTTGATGTCTTATAAAACTGTACCCCTGAAACCTATATAATTTCACTATCTAATGTTACCCCAATACACTTACTTTTTAACCTATAGAGCATCAGCCGATGGACTGAAGGGTTCCAGGTTGCTTTGGTCAAGGGCATGTACCTGGGTTACAGGCTCAGTCCCCAGCAGGCGGCATGCAGGAGGCAGCTGGTCAATGTTTCTCATTGATATTTCTTTCTAACTTTCTACCCCTCTCCCTTCTGCCCTGTAAAATCAATGAAGTAACTTTAAAAAAATAAAAATAAATAAAAAAGAAAAAGGTACATCTGAGCCCTTTACATTCAGCACCGACCACAGCTCTGTTTAGCAGGAGCTGGCGAGAGGCTAAGGGGCCTTTCAGACGGAGCAGAGGACTCTTCTGGTCCGCACACCATCCTGTGCCATCCGGGGATTCTGTTCGCTTTTCTCTTCGTTTGTTAACCAACGCCGGGCTAAATGAGGGGACCATTTCAGAACAAATAGCAGTGAGTGTTACTAAGAGGAGCACGCAGAGTGTGCAGACTTGGCAGAGAAATGAGACTGGGTTGAATGGGTTCCTCCCACTGCTTGAGTCCTACCTGCAGACTTTCCATGTATCTTCTGCCTCCCAGGCACTCAGAATAATGTTCCAAACCCAATTTGCAGTGTTATGTCTTTATTTTTCTATTTCAGTTATTCCAGGCTGTGGTCTGTTTAAAATGCAAATTAGCCGAAACCGTTTTGGCTCAATGGATAGAGCGTCGGCTTGGGAACTGAAAGGTCCCGGGTTCGATTCCGGGTAGGGGCATGTACCTTGGTTGCGGGCATATCCCCCATAGGGGGTGTGCAAGAGGCAGCTGATTGATGACTCTCTCTCATCGATGTTTCTAACTCTCTATCTCTCTCCCTTCCTTTCTGTACAAAATCAATAAAATATATTTAAAAAATAAAAATAAAAAAAATGCAAATTAAACTTAATCTAGATATTTGGGGGTTTTTTTAATATATTTTATTGATTTTTTTTTTTTTTTTTTTTTTTTTTTTACAGAGAGGAAAGGGAGAGAAAAAGGAACAGAGAGCTAGAAACATCAATGAGAGAGAAACATCGACCAGCTGCCTCCTGCACACCCACCACCAGGGATGTGCCCGCAACCAATGTACATGCTCTTGAACAGAATTGAACCTGAGACCTTTCGGTCCAAAGGCCGACGCTCAATCCACAGAGCCAAACCAGTTTCGGCAATCAGATTTTTTTTTTTTAAAGTCACTCAACACAAAAATTAAGGACAAGTAAATTAATTTTCTACCAGTGGTCAGCAAACTCCTCAGTCAACAGAGCCAAATTTCAACAGTACAATGATTGAAATGTCTTTGGAGAGCCACATTTTTAAACTTAAACTTCTGCCGGGACCAGTTTGGCTCAATGGATAGAGCGTCGGCTTGGGGACTGAAGGGTCCCGGGTTCGATTCTGGTCAAGGGCATGTACCTTGGTTGCGGGCATATCCCCAGTAGGGGGTGTGAAAGAGGCAGCTGACCGATGACTCTCTCTCATCGATGTTTCTAACTCTGTATCTCTCTCCCTTCCTCTCTGTACAAAATCAATAAAATATATTTAAAAAAAAATAAAATAAACTTAAACTTCTTCTGCCAAAGCCGGTTTGGCTCAATGGATAGAGCGTCAGCTTGGGGACTGAAGGGTCCCGGGTTCGATTCTGGTCAAGGGCATGTACCTTGGTTGCGGGCATATCCCCAGTAGGGGGTGTGCAAGAGGCAGCTGATCGATGACTCTCTCTCATCGATGTTTCTAACTCTCTATCTCTCTCCCTTCCTCTCTGTACAAAATCAATAAAATATATTTTTAAAAAAATAAAATAAACTTAAACTTCTTCTGCCAAAGCCGGTTTGGCTCAATGGATAGAGCGTCGGCTTGGGGACTGAAGGGTCCCGGGTTCGATTCTGGTCAAGGGCATGTACCTTGGTTGCGGGCATATCCCCAGTAGGGGGTGTGCAAGAGGCAGCTGATTGATGACTCTCTCTCATCGATGTTTCTAACTCTCTATCTCTCTCCCTTCCTCTCTGTACAAAATCAATAAAATACATTTTTTTAAAATAAATAAACTTAAACTTCTTTTAATGCCACTTCTTCAAAATAGACTTTCCCAGGCCGTGGTATTTTGTGGAAGAGCCACACTCAAGGGGCCGAGGAGCCGTAATTTGCCAACCACAGCTCTAGCCTGTTGACCCAGCCTCAGAACAGGGAGAACCATGGCAGGAATCCGGCTGCAGGAGCACCGTGGCCCGGTGTCTGTCCTCCTCAGGCACACAAGTCCGACGTTAGAACACGACGTGACCTCTCACCGCCCGTTGTTCACATTGAAACTCTCCGCCGTGAGAAGCCCTGCCCTTCTGGACTCGTGGTTCCCACCCTGGAGTGGGCACCAGAACCACCTGGAAGGTGGGCCAGCTCCATCTCCCAGCCCCCGCCGGCCGGGCCCTGCCGGGCTTTCTGAGTCAGAGCATGCCGCTGCTGCTGGCCAGGGCCACACGGGAGACCCCTGGGCTGAGCTCCTTTGTCTTACAGCGGACCTTCAGCACCTCCCCCCCACCCCCAGCCTTCCTGCTCTCCGCCCTCCCCCAGGCGGCTAGCTGCTCTGCCGGGCTCCCACCCGCCTCTGACACGACCCTCCATGTCATTGTTTGCTTGTTTCTCAACATCCAGACCCAGCGGGCCCTTAGAGCACCTGGAAGGAGACAGCAGCTGGGAAACTTAAAAGGAAGAGAAGCAGACGAATGGAAATAGTGCTGAGCCCAGCCGGTGTGGCTCAGTGGTTGAGTATCAACCTAGGAGGTCACAGTTCAATTCCCAGTCAAGGCACATGCCCTGTGCAGGAGGCAGCCGATCAAAGATTCTCTCTCATCATCGATGTTTCTCTCTCTCTGCTTCTCCATTCTGCTCTGAAATCAATAACATATAGTATCAATAAACAATATATATGTATATGCATGTGTGTATATGTAAGTGTGTATGATGTATGTGTGTATATGTTTATATATGTTTCTCTGTATGTTCACGCGTGCATATGTATGTGTATATGTGTGTGCGTGTGTGTGTATGTGTGTATATGTAGGTCTCTGTACGTGTATAGCATATGCATGTGTGTACATATATGTGTATATGTGTGTTGTGTGTATGCGTCTCTGTGTGTATAATATATGTGTATATATGTATGTGTGTGCATGTATGCGTGTGTATATGGTATGTGCATATGTATAGGTGTGTGTGTGTGTGTGTGTGTGTGTGTGTGTGTGTGTGTGTATGAAATAGTGCTGAATACTGCAGGCCTGACACGCCATGCTCCGCTCCAGTTCATCACCACGGCCGGCCCTTCCGGTCACCGGGGCGGACCTGCGTTACCACAGCCTGCCCTGCGGCAGCCGAGCCCCGCTTCCCTGCCCTGGAGCAGAAAACAGCTGGGCTCAGCGTTATCTTAGGAGGAGGGGCAGGGTCTCCTCCCATGACCAGGCCTGCTGGGAGGGAAGGCCACCCTGGGGCCAGGGCCTGGTTTCCAGTGTGGCCCCTTGCTAGGCAGCCAGCCATCATGTGCCTCACTATGGTCCGTGCTCTGCTCCTGTCTGTCTGCCCGCCACTCCTCCAGCATCTCCCGCACCTTCCCTGTTCCCTCCGCCATTTCCTGAACATGACCCCGTCCCAGAGCAATGGCCTGAGCAGGGATTGGAAGCTCCGGTGAGCGGGCGGAGCAGTCCACCCAGAGCCTGGGTGGGGCCTTAACGTGGATGTCAGGGCAGATGGGTGGCTGAAGGGGCGCGTGCTGCAGGGGTCAGCCGCACCCAGTGTGCCTGGGGCCGAGCAGAGGGAGGAAGGCCACAGGTGACTGGGCAGGAGCGGGGGAGCTGCCCGCTGATGGCCCAGCGGCCACCAGCCCCTACCCCGCGGGGCCCACATTCCTCCCCAGACGTGTCCCCGCTGGGCCCGCCTGACACACAGAGACCGGCGCCAGGACAGGCCACCATTCCTCCTCAGCAGGCACCACCCCTGCCCCGGGGCGACACCGGGAAGTGCAGTAAATTGTGGGCAGGGGGAGGGGGCCAGCCCAGATCCGCAGGAAGTTGCAACAACGCATGTCATCCCAGTGATGCCCCACGGGGAGGGGCAGGTGCGCCGTGACCCAGCCCTGCCCGCCCGCCGGCGTCAGCGTGGAGCCCGGTCCTTCTATAAGAGGCGCCAGGGCCTCGGTGGGCCATTTTCTCGGCCACGGCAGCCACCAGGAAGCACCCTGGCTGAGGCACCCAAGTCTGAGGCAGCCATGGCTGAGGCACCCAAGTCTGAGGCACCCGAGGCTGAGCCACCCATGGCTGACCTGGAGGTGGCCATCTGCATGATTATGGACGTGTTTGCTCGCTATGCAAGGACGCGCGGCAGCAGGCAGAGCCTGAGCAAGGAGGAGCTGAGGGAGCTCCTGCAGAAGGAACTCCCGGGCTTACTGGAGGTGAGGCGGCAGGCAGGAGGCTCACTGGGGGCTGGAGGCTCCCCTGGGCTGGAGGCTCCCCTGGGCTGGAGGCTCCCCTGGGCTGGAGGCTCCCCTGGGGTGGGGGCTCTCCTGAGCTGGAGGCTCCCTGGGCTGGAGGCTCCCCGGGGGCAGAGCCAGCTGGCTGGGGGGCAGGAGGGGGCTGTGGGGGGAGGAGGAAGGAGGGCATGGAAGGCAGACCCAGGGCCGCAGCGGCAGGGGCCGTGGCCCGGCCATCCGGTCTGGGATCTACCCTGGGCCCTGGAATCCACCGCTCGACCAGCTCTGCCTCAGCCGCACAATCTGCAATAGAATTTGCGGGTTCGGGGCCGGGTCGCCTGCTCCCCCGGCTGCTGCTGTTCGAATCTGCACTGAGGTGGTGCTCGCACTGCCCCTGAGCAGGCTGGCAGACATCCTCACCCCCCTCTGAAAGGAAGCCGGGGGGTTGGGGGGTGGCAGGGACCTGTCCAGGCCTGGTCTGGCCCAGGTCCCCTCTCCCGGTGGCTCAGGTTGCTTTCCTCACCTGTAGTGGGTGACCCTCCCTCCCCGGTGGATTGGGGACTGGAGGGCTATGAGGGGTCGGCGTGGTGGCCGCGTGGGGTAGTGGTCAGCAGAGTGACCGGGGAGTTTTCAGAGGAAGCACCCACAGAGCTTGCGGTGCCAACAGAGCAGCAAGTGGGTGCGGTTTCCGGGGAATCGTCACAGTCAAGGGCATTACACAACCCAAAGGCAACTCCTCACCGGCGCATGGCTCCATGGTTGAGCATCGACCTATGAACCAGGAGGTCCCGGTTCTACTCCCGGGTGGGGCACATGCTCGGGTTGCAGGCCCGATCCCCAGTGTGGGCGTGCAAGAGGCAGCCAATCGATGATTCTCTCATCATGGATGCTTCGCTCTTCCTCTCCCTCTCCCTTTCTCTCTGAACTCAATACCAACATATTTTTGAAAAACAGAGACGATCCTTCCAATATGTCGGGCAGGCCCCCACTTGCCAGAGCCGAGTCTGCCCTCCCAATACGCCCAGCGGGCCCGGCACAGACTCGGACTCCTCCCTCTGCCCCCGCGGGCTCGCCCTCGCTGACCTGCCCTCTCTCCTCCAGGGCGGGAAGGAGGACGCCATGGACAAGCTGTTCAGGGGCCTGCACACCGGCGAAGACGCCACCGTGAGCTTCCAGGAGTTCATCGTGCTGGTGGCCGGGCTCATGTCTGCCTGTCACAAGCACTTCCAGGAGGATTGAGCCAGCTGACCCCTCGCCCGCTCCCGGCCTCAGCATGAGGTGGGGGCGGGGGTGGGGGTGAGGGCGAGGGCACCGGGGAGGGGGCGGGCGCCTGGTCGCCAGGAAGCTCTGGGCAGCAGTGGTTTCTCCGCTGAGCAAGCTGATGGCCGTTGATCAATAAAACGCTTGTGGACTGATCCTGGTCTCAGAGAAACTGATCCTTAAAGCCTCAGCACCACACACACACACACACACACACACACAACTCCAGTCGGTCACTTCATGCGCACCCCCGCCCCGGGGAGACAAGGAGGAGGAAGGACACAGGTCAGAAGTGAGAATCCTTGTCAGGCATTTCCTGGGTGCGCCTCACCTCCCTGTGCCAGCCCAGAGTGAGGTGCTGGCCCTGCCTCCGTGTATCCGTCAGCACAGAGCGATGGCCGCCCTCCAGGGCCCCGGAGAACCGTGGGATATGCATCCGTTCTTCCTGCCCGTCAGTCACGCAGCCACTCATCAAACGCCGGCCCCCGCCTTCCTCCTCTCCGTCGTGATTTCTCGGTAGCTCTCTCTGCTGGTGCAGGGCCACCGTGTCCTTTCTTGGCCACGAAGGTCGTAAAGCAAGGGGCAGCCTTAGGGCAGGATGGGAAGCAAGGACGGAAAACCCCCCGGGGCAGGCCTGGCCCCAGGAGGAGTGACCGCGGCTTCGTGACTCAGAGGCCAGCAGATCAGCAACTGGGCCTGGCTCTTCCGTCTGAGTCACTGTCGCCAGAGCAGGGAGGGATGTCGCCAGGGGCCCTGAGCGCGGGGGACGTGCTGATCGGAGGCTCCGGCTGGCCCCTGGCGGGGGAGGGCGGCATGGAGTCAGGAGCAGGCGCACACGTGGGAGGAAGGGGGCAGAGCCCGGGGCCGTGGTTGGGCTCTGAGAGGGCGCTAGAGTGGACATGGCTCTTCCTCTGTCCTGCTCCTGCCCAGGTCAGTCACCGTCCTGTGGGCGACAAAGTCCCAGAAGCTGCGGTGACACCGGAGCCCTCGTCCCTGGCCTCGCAGCTGGGGTGCAGGCTGCTGACCTGGGACCCTGCACTCCGCCCTCGCTTCCTAAATGATGCTGAGTGGGGAGGGGAGGTTGGGGGATGGGGTGTGGGGGTGGGGGTGGTCTGGGACCGCTCCCCCGGGGTACAGCATGGTGGGCGGGCATGTTCCTGCTGCGGGCCCTGCCCTGGCGCTCTGGCCTCGCCGTCTTAAGGGGCGAAGTCCTTCTGAGCCCTCACTGGGGGCGGGGTTCTGTGCCTTCCATCTCGGAACCCGGACCTAGAGCCCGAGAATGGTCCTGGGGCCAGGTCCTCTGGGGCCTGGCTCTGTCCTGGCAAGCCCAGCCTCCCCGCAGCCATTGGAGGGCCGGGAGGCATGGCCTGGCTCCCTGAAGCGGCTGCCAGGAGACCCTTTCTCCGGCGCCTGCAGTTCCCACGCCTAGGCCGCTGCCCTGGAGTTTCTCTCATCATCCTCGCTCCTCCATGGCCACAACTGAGAGGCTCGGTCTGGTTTGGAGAACAGGTTCCTTCCCCGCCCACCTCGGCTCTCCATCAGCTGTCTCTGTGCCAGGCTCTGAGCGGGTGCAGAACACCCATGACCCGTGGTCAAGTCCACGGCCACCTCTCAGGTCACAGCTTCTGGGGGGAGGGGGCACCTGGCATCCAGGTTTTGGTGAAGCCGAAGCCATGTCCACCAGCATTATTTCGATTGCCTCAGCTCTTTTGTTAAAAATAAATCTTTGTTGAAAATACTACATATGTCCCCCTTTGCACCTCCCCATTGGTCCTCTCCAGCCCACTCACCCTTCACCCCAGGCCTTCACCACCCTAAGGTCTGTGTCCATGGGTTATGCAACATATGCATACAACAAACAGCGTTTTAAATATATATGCATATATATTTCAGAGAGGAAGGGAGAGGGAGAGAGAGAGATAGAAATATCAATGATGAGGGAGAATCATTGACCAACTGCCTCCTGCACACCCTGGGGATGGAGCCTGCAACCTGGGCATGTGCCCTTGACTGGAATTGAACCCGGGACTCTTCAGTCCGCAGGCCGATGCTCTATCCACTGAGCCAAACCAGCTAGGGCAACAACCAGCATGTTTTAATGATTGCATGGAGCCCAGTGGAAGGAGGCTACCATTGGCCATTATTAAAGACACAGTGTGGTGGGCAGCCAGGCAGACATGGCAGAGCAAGGACCGGTGCAGAAGATCACCAGGGCGGCTAGCAGCCGGCAGAACTGGGAAACAAGGACCTCACTCACCCCCAGGGTGACCTTTCCTCCCCAGCATCGCCCCGGTCAATGTGGTTCGGACCCCATGACTTCTCCTTCCTAAAGATAACATCTAGCCCTGGCCTGTTCTGCTCAGTGGATAGAGCATCGGCCTGTGGACTGAAGGGTCCAGGGCTTGATTCCGGTCAAGAGCTCGGACCTCGGTTGCAGAGTTGATCCCCAGTCCGTCTGGACTCACCCCTTGCAGCTGTCTCCAAGGCCCCTTTTCTCTGGCGGAATTCCCAGGGAGCCCGAGCAGCCCGCCTGGGCTCGCCTGTGGCCCCTTCTAAGCTGGCCCTGCCTTGTCTCATTGTCCTGGGTCTGCTGTTGCTCCGGCCAGTGCCTTCTTACTTGATTTGCTGCATTTTGCCTCGTGATGAAACCTTTCCTTCAAGAAGATGAGAACCGAGGTCTCCTTATCTCACTGGTAACAATAGCTCCTACTTTGCTTTTTTACAAGTTTGCTACAGTTGCCCTGGCCAGTTTTGTTCAGTGGTTAGTCTGCCCACCCAAAGGTCTTGGGCTCAATTACCAGTCAAGGGCTGGAACCTCAGGTTCGACCCCCAACCCCCGTGAGAGTGGAGCAGGAGGCAACCAATCAATGTGTCTCTCTCACGTTGATGTTTCTCTCTCTAAAAAAAAAAAAAAAGGCCCCCTTCCCTTCCTTCCACTCTCTAGGATTTTTTTTAAGTATGCTCCAGTTAATATTTTCATTCACAAATCTTTTATCTTAAGCTCAGATAATTTCCCCAAAATGAATCTCATTTAACCCAGCATTATTAGGTAAGAGGAGAATTTTTTTAAAATATATTTTTATTGATTTTGTACAGAGAGGAAGGGAGAGAGATAGAGAGTTAGAAATATCGATGAGAGAGAGTCATCGATCAGCTGCCTGTTGCACACCCTCTACTGGGGATATGCCCGCAACCGAGGTACATGCCCTTGACCGGAATCGAACCCGGGACCCTTCAGTCCCCAAGCCGACGCTCTATCCATTGAGCCAAACCGGTCTCGGCAGAGGAGAATGTTTTTATTGTGGTAGAGACATATGACCTAAAAGACACTGTCTTAACCATTTCTAAATGCACAGCTCAATAGTGCTGGGCAACCGATCTCCGAACTCTTTCATCTTCAAAACTGGAACTCTGTATCTAACCCCAAGTGCCCGGCAAACACTGTCCTGTTTTCTGTGACCTGACTACCCTAGGACCTCATGTAAGGGGAGGGGGTCATATAGCTTTTGTCTTACTTAATGGCTCATCTCACTGAGCCTAATGCCCTTGAGGTTTATCCCTGTTGTAGCACATGTGAGAATTCCCATCCTTTCTAAGGCTGCAGACTAGTCCTTTGTATGGATAGAACACATGTTGCTTCTCCGTTCATCCATCGATGGACACTAGGGTTGCTTTCAGAGTTTTTGTGTTTGTTTGTTTGTTTGTTTGTTTGTTTGTTTTTAAATTTGTTTTGCTTTATTTAACCAACGTCAAGTGTCTCCCCCCTATAACGCTTGGGAATTGTCCCAGGGAGGGCCCGCCGGCTGTCACCAGCGGCCCCTGCTGATGATTTGCAGAGTTGGTCCTTGGCTGGTGACATGCTATTGGTTTCTCCTGCTTTCCACTACTAGGATGAAGCGCGAGGCAGAACTTCTGGATCCTCTGTCCACTGCTGTATCACCCAGTGCCTAGAACAGTGCCTAGTATACAGTAAGCGCTAAGTAATACTGGTAAATAAAAATACCTGTGATAAAGTACAATTTTAAAAACGGTTTAAAGAGAACTGACCTAGCCCAAATTTCTAAGCCAGAAACTTCCGTTTGAGTTATCTGCCTTGGTAAGCAGACACCATTACATTTAAATTAAATTTACATACTTAATTAGCCCTCATTCTCTGAAGGAGTATTAAGCCTCAACCATGTCTGAGCAAGAAGAAACTAGGCATAACCTGATGAACAAAAAGATAGATACAGAGGCAGTAAAGCGCTGAACAGACTGTCAAATTACAGCAGGAAGGCTGGGGAGTGTTGGGGAGGGAGGAAAGAGATCAACCGAAGGACTTGTATGCATGCATGTAAGCACATCAAATGGACACCAGACACTGGGGTGGGGGAATGAAAGCAAGACAGAAGGGAGAGAGACAGGGAGTAGGGTAGGCTGGGGGAAGGTCAATGGGAAAGGAGATATATGTACTACTATTTGTAATTCTTTAAACAAATTAAAAAAAAAAAAAAAACTACTAGGGACGAGAGGGAACGCTTCCTGGTCCTTGGCATGGGCTTCACCTTGACCTGGACAGAGGCTACGCGGCTGTACGGATATGCAAAGACGAATGCCTTGTACACTTAAAGGGCACGCGCTTCTCCGCACCGCTCAGCCTCCCTTCATAGGGTTCCACTGAGCGCGCGCACAGAGACCACAGCGCGCGTGCGCGAGGGCGAGCGTGAGCGCGCAGGCCGGAAGTAGGGGCGTTCTGTGCGTGCGCGCGCAGGCCGGAAGTAGGGGCGTTCTGTGCATGCGCGCGCAGGCCGGAAGTAGGGGCGTTCTGTGCGTGCGCGCGCGCGCGCGCGCGGAGACCGGAAGCTGGCCGGCAGCCCGGAAGCCGCGGGCTATGGAGGCTAGCTCGGCGGGTCGCTGGCCGTCTCGCGAGGCATCGGCGGAAGAAGCCGAGCCGCCGGCCGCCTCCTGGAGCGGGGACAGCGGCCGCGTGTCGCAGAGCCTCAGCCTCGCCTCGGGGCCGTGGGAGGACGAGGGCGCGGACGGGGGCGCGCCGGGCCGCGACCTGCCGCTGCTGCGCCGCGCCGCCGCGGGCTACGCCGCCGGCCTGCTGCCCGGGGCCGGGGCGCGCGCCGAGGTGCAGGCCCTGGACGCCAGCCTGGACGAGCTGCTGACGCGGGTGGACGAGTTCGTGGGCATGCTGGACATGCTGCGCGGCGACTCCTCCCACGTGGTGAGCGAGGGCGTGCCGCGCATCCACGCCAAGGCCACGGAGATGCGGCGGGTCTACGGCAAGATCGACCGGCTGGAGGCCTTCGTGGGCATGATCGGCGCCAGCGTGGCCCGGATGGAGGAGCAGGTGGCCCGGGCGGAGGCCGAGCTGGGCTCCTTCCCCGGCGCGTTCAGGAAGCTCCTGCACACCATCCACGTGCCCGCCCTCTTCGCCAAGGCGCCCGCCGGCAGGCCGCCGCCGCCGGCCGCCTACGAGCCGCCCGCCCTGTTCCGGACCGAGGACCACTTTCCCGGCGGCGGCGAGCGGCCTCTGCTCTGAGCGGGCGGCGGGGGACCGCCCTCCGGGACGGGACGCCGCGAGGGCATCGATGGCGGGGCCCGCCCCCGGGCCTGTGCGGCGGGGCTGCGGGGGTGTAACGCTGGCCATTGCACGCCCCGCTTCTCACGGTCTCCATAACGGGCTCACGTGGGGAGTCTGCCCTGTTTGAGTCGTCCAGGTCCGACCCGAAAGCTGCTTGGAGGGAGCGCCCGGGGAAGCAGCAGGAAGGACCTTCCCCGGGCGCCGTGGCCACACTGTTACTTTGATGGATTTTACGGCTCCACAAAGAGTATTACCTTTTCGAGATTTATGTATTTATATCCTCTCCAGGAACATCCCTGCGCCGTTAAAGCTTTCTTATGACTTTGGATCCGTTTCCCATGGCTTACTCTAGCGACGGGTGGGAAGTCACTGAACATCCTGTTAGACTCTCCGTGGGGGTTTTAACCGAAGGAAATGGTGCAGCTTCTGAGAAAAATGCCCTGGCTCATGGCGGCTGGCTCTGAAGGATTGAAGTGCGGCCATCCCACCTTAGCCTGCCCCGAGCAGGTGTGACCGTATATTGGTTACCAACGTCTGGTTTATATAGCTTACAGTCTAATAAAAGTTTTAAACTTTATTGGAAAAGCTTTCTCCAGGAAAGGACTTTACCTGCTTCCTTTTCTGTTGGTTTGAAAGTGGACGGGCTCGAGGCGAGGTGAGGAGCGGGATAGAGACGGGCTGGGAGCGCCTGCTTCACAGGGCGGATGTGCAAACGGACCTGCCCCTTTTCATAGCATCAGCTGCTGCTTTCCCCGCGGAGGGAGCTGTCGTCATTGGTGGGGTGACCGTGTGGGGTTTTGTTCTTTCACCCTGACCACAAAGAACCCTTAAGATCCCTTGCAGGCACGACAGGCTCTGATTTCGACCCTAAGCTGTTTTATAAGTCGGCCCTCTGGCCCCGGCCCTCAGCACCCAGCGCGGGCTGCTCCCCTGTGCTTCTCAGGTCTTCCAGGCCGATGGAGTAGGCGTCATTCTCACTTAGCTGCACACAATGAAAAGTGACCACAGTCTCAACCTCAGCTTTCTTGGGCCTTCTGTGTCGTTACACATTTATATTTTTTATTTGAACAATTCACTGGTTACACACAGAAGGACTCCTGAATTCAAAGGCGGGAAGAACAAGTAACTGTACTTAGTATGTGGCCATTACTGTGTATGTGAGGAATGAGTATGTCCCTGCAGCTGTCCACGGGGGGGGGGGGGGGGGGGGGGGGGGGGGGCGGCAGCTGCCTGCGGAACATCTATACCACCAAAGTGTTCTTTAAGCTCGGGGCTGTGTTAAACAGCAGGCTTAGGACAAATTATGGGGGAAAAAAATTGAATAACGTAAAAGAATTAATATCTGCAAAATGGACAAAATCTGCAGTCAGCCCGTCTGCTGGAGGCGGGACTCTGACTTTCTGGAACAGGGCAGCCCACAGTCACCCTGGAGCCAGTGAACTTGTTCTTTTCTCCACACCCAAGAGCACAATAACCTCTGGGTTTTCAGGAGTCTGTAGGACGCACCCGTCAGTGCATGGGCAGCCGCCCCCAGGAGTCTGTGCACACATGAAGTTGGGTACCAGGGAGCCAGGAAGCTCCGTAGGCGTTTTCCTCCCAGCCGGGACTCGCAGGAACAGGCGTGTTGGGTGGTGTGAGGAAGGGGTTCTGGAGGCAGCCAGCCTGGCGGGAACCTGCTGACTGTGAGGGAGGACCGATCGATATCAAAGGGCCAGACGTAGGGGCAACGTGAAACCCACTGGCAGCAGATCAGGGAACGGGAGGACAGGGCCAGGCAGTGCACAGACTTGCAGCCTGGCGGGCACAGCTCACCCCGTCCTTGGACCTGCACAGCAGCCACAGGAAGTGCGTAGACAGGTGCGCAGGCCGTGTGCGAGTGGCCTACTTATAAAAGTGCATTTCTTAAATGCTGAGAGACACACAGAGGAAAAGCGTGTAATGGAGGATTTCAGGAAAAACTCCCGCTGGATGGCTGTCGGCCGCGGGAGAGACGGAGCTTTGTTCCAGGGCCCTTTCCTGCGAGATGCGCCCAGGATGGCAGACGGAGCTCACCGCTCCTCCAGGACGAGACCCGAGAGGCGGGAGGCAGGGGCAGCCCAGCTCGGGTCCCATCAGCTCCGTCGCCCCCACTGTTCATTACCAGAAACTGCCGGGACTCTGTGAGAGTACCTTCTGATGACCTGTTCATCGCCAGAGCTGACAGCCACTCTCAGGCTGCAGGCCTCCCCCAGAGCATCCCGATGCTCCCCCTCTGTCCATCCTCCCACCCCCACCCCAGCACCTGCCCACGGAGACGTCTCCAGGCCACTCTCCACGGGGCTCACAGCCCCCAGTGGGTCTGGGAAACCATAAGTCAGACCTGTGTGTTGGGCTTTGCCGAAAACCTCCAATAGCTTCTCGTGACGTTAGAATAAGACCAGATTCTAGTGTGGGCAGGAAGGGGGCCGCACACTGAACTGACGGGCTCAGGGGAGGCCGGCGGGGTGGCCTCACAAACTCGGAGACCGGTGAAGCTCAACTCTAACTGAAGTGAGTCATGGTGGGCACTAACCGCTACTCTCCTAAACCCTCCGACGTGAGTGTGTGTCTCTGCATCCCTGTTACCAGGCTCAGAAACGCCCCGGCCTTGCCTCCTCCGCCTCCCTGACCTGCTGCCAGTGGGTTTCACACACACACACACACACACACACACACACACCCGGGTCTGCCCTTTGTCCCGATGTGTGAGTAAGTGGAGACTGCCGTTTCCCGGCCATTCTCTCAATCCCTCGAGATTTTGCTTCCTGGCAGTTATCAGTTCGGCTCAAATGGAAAAAAGTTCATTTTACGTTTCTTTCTTTCTTTTTTTTTTTAAACCTCAATTTAATTCAAGAGTAATTTCTAAGCCACCTTTAGAAAGTTTCTTTTAAAAATCATTTTTCTTTTTTACACCAAGCAACCTGTATGGCTACTGTTTGCTTATTTTTTGTTTGTGATCCGTTTTACGTTTCGTACATCGACACGGTCTGCCGCCTGTCTCGGGCCTCTCTCCGCTCAGGCCCCTCCCTCGGACTCGCTCCTGGGAGGCGCCCTCTGTGTGCCTTCATAGCACTTGTCCCAGGTGTGTCCGTGTCACGTAATTACTCCAGGCCTGCGAGACTCTGTTCGTCTCACCTCACCCGTGTTCCCAACAGGTAACATGCCTGATTCGCTCCGCAGCTGGCGGAGTCGGTGAAAGGCAGACCAAGCCTGGGCACCGGGAGGAATGGGAGACAGAAAGCCAAGGGCAGCGATTCCATCAGATGGTGCGGGGAAAGCAAGCCCCAGGGAGGGCTGAGGGCGCAGAGCGGGCCTGCCTGGGAGGGAGGGAGGGAGGGAGGGAGGGAAGGGAGGGAGGGAGGGAGGGAGGGAGGGAGGGAGGGAGGGAGGGAGGGAGGGAGAGAGAGACGCCAGCGGAGTCCGGCCGAGCGTGGTGCTTCCGCAGGCCTTCCTGCGGGCCTCTCCCCCTCCTGCCCGGAAGCGTAGCTTAGAAACTTCCACTGGCTGCTGCTGATGGTGGGGGAGAGCACCTTTTTTCAAAATATACATTTTTTAATTGATTTTTTACAGAGAGGAAGGGACAGGGATAAGGAGTTAGAAACATCGATGAGAGAGAAACATCGATCAGCTGCCTCCTGCATACCCTCCAGTGGGGATGTGCCTGCAACCAAGATACATGCCCATGACCAGAATTGAGCCTGGGACTTGTGAGTCCCAGGCTGACACTCTAACCACTGAGCCACACCGGTTAGGGCGTGGGGTAGAGCATCTTCCTGTGCACCAAACGGTGAGTTTGATTCCGGATCAGGGCACGTCCCCAGGCTGTGGGTTCCCTCCTGTCGGAGTGTGTTTCTCTCCTCTCCTTTCTCTTCCTACAATCAGGGAAAAACATCCTCAGGTAAGGATAAAAAACAAAACAAAAACATTTCAAACACCTAAATCCTCAGTCCCAGCCACAGGGGAGGAAATGCATTTCTGTTAAAATGCTTCTTCCTCATCTTCATCCTCAAAGGGGAGCGGTTAGCGCTGGTCAGACCCTGGGAGGGGAAGGGCCTGGGGATTCTCCCGCCCCGCCTGCAGGAGAGTCGAGGGGCTGCAGGAACAGCCCTGCCCAGCAGGGGGCGCTGGCGGAGCAGAAAAGCCGCCTGGAAGCAGCCAGTCCCGCCCAGCCTCCAGGAACCCAACACCAGCGTCCAGCAGCCCCGGCCCTGGGCGCTGGCCCTTCAGGCTGCGGGGCCTGACCCCTGAAGGGCTCACAGTGAGGGACCTCTGCCACCCCCAGGCTGCTCTGTGGCACGGGTGGGAGGCGGGTGGAATGGGAGCTCAGTCCTGCAGGACACAGAGGAGGCCGTGTCCTCCCCTTTCTGCTGTTCTTGCCCTCTCTCTGCGGAAGGAGGTGCTCATTCCCGGGTTTGCTAGTTTTTCTGTCTCCCTGCCGGGCAAGGAGGGTGGCTTTCTGCTCTGTGCGCCTCTGAGTCCGGGGCTCCTGCAGCCACGCCTGGCCCAGAGCGGGCCCTGCAGACGGGCCGCGGAGGGACTGGAGGGGAACGGGAGGATGGGCAGCCAGGCCTCAGGAGCACGGAGAGCCGGTCCCACCGGGGCTTGGATGTTGCTTAGCGCCTGTCCTGGCGGGACCAGAACACCTGCTGCAGTGTTTTCTTTGAGGGCGGGGGGTGGGGGGAGGCAGACTTTTCCCCGCCCCTGCGTCCCCCCTGGAGTCTCTGTCACCGTGTCTAGGCTGTGGAGATGCTTCCTGGAGGCTTTTATTATTTTTTTAAAATATATTTTATTGATTTTTTACAGAGAGGAAGAGAGAGGGATAGAGAGTTAGAAATATGGAGGAGAGAGAATCATCGATCAGCTGCCTCTTGCGCACCCCCTACTGGGGATGTGCCCGCAACCAAGGTACGTGCCCTTGACCGGAATCGAACCTGGGACCC